TCACAATAGTATTAAACCAAGTAAAGCCCGCAGGATGCCAAGCATACCTAGTTAGTGCTAGCATCCTTATTTCATAAAGTGCAGAAGAAAACTCTTTGATGTTACCTAGCTGCAGTCTTGGAACCCCCGAAGATGGTTTAATGTAAAAGACACTTTTTAAGTTTTGATAGTTTAACTATAGAGTGTAGATTTGGGGAAGGCAATTTCAAATAGAGTTATTGTGGGACACAAAATATAAGTCCTTCATGCCTAGAGAAATTCCCAAGTAAACAAAGGCGGAGGGCATTTGTTATCGCTAGACCTGTCATGCAAGTAAAGGGGATTTTGTAGTTTGAAATAAAGGACAGAAAGTAGAAGACAAATAAAGAAATATTTATCTCAGTAAAAGTAAATACATGGGTCATTATAAAAGCTAGTGTTATTGTAAGAACAGTTTGTAACTCCACTTTTTGTTTCACCATGATTTAAGAGAATAATGAATGCATTTTTTAAAAAAGTATTACTCTAAAAGCTTGTATTATTGTAACTTTGGTTTGTAACTCCACATTTTGTTTTCTACATAAGTTAAGAGACCGATACTTTTACAAAAACAATTACTTTATGTGTTCACACATACAACATACAGGGATGTAATTTTGGGACATCCATAAGTAAAAGGAGCAGGGATGGAGCTATAACAAGCAGAGTTTTTGTATGTTGTTGAAGTTAAATTGGGATACATTTAAACTGAGTGTGATAACTTTAGGATATTAACTGGAATTGCCATGGTAACCACAAAGAAAATAGCTATAGGATATACACCATAGGAAATGAGTAGGGAATTAAAACATTTCACTGCAAAAAGTCAAATAAACACAAAAGAGGCAGTAGATGAGGGACTAAAAAAATACAAGATATAAGATAACAAATAGCAAGATAACGCAAGTTTCTCCTTATTAATAAATATTTTAAGTATAAATAGATTATTCTCTGTATTTATATGTTGTTTCTGTTACAGTTTGTGTTTTCTTTATGTTTCACATATAGGTTAAATCATACAGTATTTATCTTTCTCTTAGAATATCACTTAGCATAATACACTTGGGTCCAGCCATGTTGTCACAGATGGGAAGATTTCATTCTTTATTATTGCTAAGTGATATACCAAATCTTCTTTAGCCATTCATCTATTAGTGGACACCTAGGTTGCTCTTATATCTTGGGTATTATAAATAATGCTTCAATGCAAAAAGTGAAAGTGAACAAGAGCTACAAACTTCCATTTATAAAAACAAATATCATGGGGATGTAATGTTAATGTAGTTAATAATATTGTAGCTAATGATATTGTAATAACTTTGTATTGTGACAGAGTTACCATGGTGATCACTTCATAAAATACATAAATGTTGAATCACTAAGTTGTACACCTGAAACTGATATAATACACACACACACACACACACACACACCTACACCTCTGGCCAGGTAGCTCAGTTGATTAGAGCATCATCTTGATATGCCAAGGTGTGGATTCGATCCCGCCCCTTCCCCCTATGGCCAACTCTTTGTAGTTACAAGTCCTTGTTTTTGTCCTGAAATATTACAGTCACCTGCTCAGTCATATCATCGGCATGAATCACTCCCTCACTTTTGGTCTGTGTCATATAATTTACTTATTTATAAACCAAATTAAATTCAGAGGAAGGGGGAGTGGTAGTCAGTCTTCCCTGGTTGCTGGCACCACTGCCCCTTTTGTGGACCTCACAGTTTATTCTAAGACAGGAAGCTCCTCTGCCTCATGCCAGCCTCAGCCACAGGGTGAGGCCTGTGCTCACCACTGGGCACTGCTGAGCTTCAGATGCCCATGACGTTCTGGGACAGTGCAGAACCTCAACTTGTTTCTCTTCGAGGTTCCTAAAGTGATAGCATCCTGGGGGTGAACCCCAAGATGAAATGTATCTCCATCCCTTTCTCTGTCTGAAACCAAATCAAAACAATAACAATTGGATCGCCTTGATGGTGTTAAGCTCTGAAAATTCAAGTTTGGCTCACCAGCCTTACAACTTTTCCTTATCACCACTGTGGCAAAGGAAAAGAATTGACTCCAAAAGTTAGTTAACTACTTTCACATCCAAAGAAATCTCAGACCTCAAATCTCACACCAAAAACCTGACAGAGGTGTAGCGGTGGAGGTGGGACAAGATTCCTTTTACTACGTAACAAGAGTAGCTTTCTCACTCTTTCTGCTGTTTAGAAACTTAGGGACAAAGAAAATAGGGAACATAGAACAATTATAACACAAGGTAATGCTTATAATTGCAATAGAAATTTCAAGAGAGAGCTTTATTGTCAAGAAAAAGACTAGCAATATCTGTTCCTTCAACCTTCAGTATCATTATTCTGAAACCTTCTGCCTTGATGCACAAGAATCTTATTTGTAAAATATTTTGTTGTCCCCCTGATCTATGGAACAAATTCTAGATGCCCACTTGCCATAGCAAACCTGCCATGACAACCCAGTCCAATCTACTTTCTCTAAACGCCTGTTATTAGCATGCCACTCAAGGTCACTTGTAGCTGAAATTATTCTATGGTCCTTATTTTCTCCCCACCCCCCACTCCCACCAATAAGCTTCAAAGTTCCTATGCACAAGGAAAAGCTAAAAAGCTATTCTTGCTACCCAAATTTCATGTGAAGATATGATTCCAGTATGAGAAGGTGGCTTTTCTAGCAGCATAATCAAAGGCTAACACAATTGTGTGCCCTTAAAAGAATTAACAGGTTCTTCCCAGCGGTC